AATATATATATATATATATATATTAAACTATTGCCATTATTAACATGTTGCTGTCGTTATTGTAAAATTTAAAAAATAACATAATTTGGAAACATAAAAGCTATTTTTTTTTAAATCTGCTGTTTATTTAAAACGGCAAAAGCTGAAACAAGCACGCTGTGTTTAGCCTGAGCTCAACATAAACAGTGAGAATTTGTGGTAGCACACCAAAAATAACACAAAATGAAGAGAGATATGTGGAACCTAAATATAAGGGAAAACCTGATGCTTTGAAATAGATTAACCATGACAATAATTTCAATAAGTAAATTAGTTTGAAAAAACATGTTTCAGATAAATATTACATGCATAATTAATAATTATTGTTTGTTTCACAAACAATAATTATGGAGAGACAGTGCTGTAATTATGCCATCTGAAATACCTACCTAGAAGTTTCTATATGCCTTTGTGAAAAAAAATAGTACATTAGGATTAACTCGATTAAATATGATATGTGGTGTTTCTATGCACAACAATAAAAAAGATATAGTATAAAATGATCTTATTACCTTAATTATTGTTATTATTCATACTGCTTTGGATACATGTTAGATTGATGTTTGCTGCTTTGATTTTAATATATAGGGTTATGTCAACAAAAACAGAATAAGTAAACATATAACATTTTAAGTGCTTTTGTGTTGAGTTTTGAATGTTCTTCTTACAACATGAGAGAAGTCTATAAAACTAATAGTAGCTGCTCAATTAGTCGGGCTATCTGTTCACTAGCCACCCTGTAATCAGCTGCTTTATAGATAGTTCACTGGCAGTTTGCCAATATTATCTCTAAAGCACTGTCACCTAAAAAAGAATAAGGGAAGGTGACCCTATGGTTGCCCCACCATGACTGTTCATGTTTTTCTCTAGTGGAAATATCTTCGAACTGCTGAATTGGTCTCCCTTGTTTATAAAGGATTTGGTTGCAGGCCCTGCAGCCTTCTTTAAACAGACTGACCTGCACTACAAAAAAAATGATTTGAGAAAGTGGTAATCTGTCCAGGCCTACATCCATATAAAGCTTGAAAACTATTTCAATCTCCTCTCTTCTAAATGTCTTCTCAATTTTATAACAAATTAGAGTTGCAGATGATAAGCAGACCAGACTTGGGTTTAATTATTCCTGTATGCAAAAGGCGAAGTTGTGTTAGCATGATCTGGTTTATTTACACAGAGGCAGGCTCTGTTAGATTAAGACATTTAAAGCGTTGAAATGAGATTGTTTTATTTAATAAATATGACAACATTTATTATGGTAATAACTTACCTATACATTTATATCTCAGCTTAATAGTATTCAAGGATGCAGACACTTTAAGTCCAAAACATGGTCTGATATCTTTTGGATCACTTAAAGCTGAAAGAATGGCAAAAGTGAATCCAGTTTGTAGATACTTTGATTGACAGGTTGCTTTCAGTTTATGAGCCAGAAGGTTATGTTTGCTTTTGTTACTTTTTGAACCTCCACCTCATCAACACCCACTCCTGCGCCCCTGTGAGTAAAACACTGTTTGCATGGGATAATCTTTTCTCCTCCACCTTTACAACTTTTGTCATGTTCAACAGTAACTCCACACTCAGAGGTAATCCGATAGCCCACCCTCCAAACCTGCTGCGCTGGTGTCCTCTCTTTTATGTTTGTGAACTCAGACTGAGGCTGAATTGGGAAAGCAAATCTTTACATTTCATCATGGGTTGTATGGGGTTTCTTTCTTTATTTGTTATTAGTACAATGCAGAGAAATACAACTTGTTCTAAGCTGGATTCATTTTGTGCATCTTTGGTATTTTTTCCTGTCTTTGTGTAGCTAATAGCTAGGTTTAACTTTATTTGTATGAACCTGCTGTGATGCTGCATTAATTTATAGGAGTCTTCTCGAGACTTGTCCACTTTTATTACAGTATTTCTGCAATGTTATTTTTTTTGTGATTGCAGCCTTGATGAGGATGAAGAGCTCCTCTTCACAGATCCAGAGAGTAAAGAGAAGAACAAAGACAAAAAGCTCGTGTGCAAAGTGAAATGGTCCCGAGATGAGGTAAGAGGTTAAAAATAAAGATGTAAGGCATGGTCTGAGAATACAAGAGCTTAAATAGAAACAGGCTCTATGATGATTGAATAGTGATCTGTGTTGAATGTTAGCTTGTTTAAACCTTTTAATGGGCCCCACTGTGTAAGCTTTAAACCTGTTTCAGATCAACAAATGAACTTTAACAGGGAGTCAAAATACCAAAGTACATCAAAATAACAGTTTTTAAATTTTTCTAAGTATGTTATTCAGTCATTCAATCCAACCTGGTTCTGTGTATCCTCTCTTATTTAATAATTAATTTACTGTGAATAACCACATTTGCTGATTTTAGTTTCACTTGCCTCTGACCAGCTTCACACCTGATCCCCTGAATCTAGAAATGACTTTAATAGGATTTGTGTGGCAACATGAAAGAAGATCTTAAAACACAAAACATCTTCCTTCCAAAATAAAGGCGTTCAAAAAAGTCTAGGATATCTGTCAGTTTGGAAAGTGTCCCAGGGTTATACGTAATTGCAGAGAGCATTGCTAGTATTGGCTTATCTGAGAGGTGATTAGAGAACCCAGAACAACATCTAAAGCACCGCTGAACACATTGGCCTTAGATATAGTCCATGTTTATGATTTAAAAAAAGGACAAAAAGTGAATAAAATTGCCTCCATGACAGGGGTCTAAGGTTAAAACCACTTCTGATCAAAAAGAAAAAAAAAAAAGCCTTGTCTTGTATAAATATTCCCTGAGACTTGAAAAAAGGGCTGCGTGGACTTATTACACCAACGTGGAAATATTTGGAAGGTAGGTATCCAGTTACATCTAGCATAAAGCTAAAATAATACAGCTAAAACAAAACAAACTGACATCATATTATAATGTCATTGGTGTGATAGTCAGGAGCTGCTTTGTTGCTTCAGGGCTGTGATGAATGAAACCATGAATTCTGCTCTATAAAGGGTAATCAGGAATAGAAAACTCCGGCATTAAGTTCATAACCTTCAGCTAAAACACTCTCAAGTTACCCAGTAGGACAATAATATAGAGTTCACTTATGAATGGCTCAAAGTAATTGTTTTGCAATGACCTAGTCAAACTTTATATCGAAATCCACCTATTAGATCATTTTTATCACAACTTCAGAGAGGCATATTAATCATAAAAAAAACTTTCATGCCTAAAAATAAAAAAAAAAATTTCACAGAAAAGCGGGACCCTATCTCCCAAATTGATGTAAAAGACTTAACTAAAAGTGTTTTTGGATCACTTTCCTCTAAATAAACAAAGTCGTTTTTTTAAAACTGTTTTTGTTTTTTCAGATGATCTCTATCCAATATTAAAACCTGTTTAACAACATGAAACAGTCTTAAACTTTAGGTATAAGAGGGAAAAAGGCAAAATCTTAAGAGACCTGTAAGGGGGCTAAAATACAGCTCTGTATTTAAGAAGAATGCAATGGATTCTTGAAGTGTTTGTCTAATGAAACACTCAGCCTGAAAACAAGGATTCTTTTCATTCCTTTTAAGGACGACAAACTGAAAAAGCTTGTCAACCAACATGGAACCGAATCCTGGAAGTTAATAGCCACCTTTTTCCCAGTGAGTATTTTTTTTCTAATTCTCAAGAATGACATTTCATTAATGCTTTGACCTTCAGAGTTCTAATCATTTGCTTTAGGTCACCTATGGCTGCAAAGTCCCAGTAGGTACAGCTTCTGGTTTACAGTGATGAGCTGTTTTTTTTAAACTTCACCTGTCTGTTACCACAGGGGAGGACAGATGGTCAGTGTCAGCACCGCTGGCAGAAGGTGCTCAATCCAGAGCTGGTAAAAGGACCCTGGACAAAAGAAGAGGATCAAAAGGTAAGTAGAGCTGGGAGTTCCTGGTATGGAAATCAGGAGGGATTAATGAATAGATCATTAGGGAGAAAGATGGATGCTGTTTGAAAGGATGTAAAGGAACAGTGTAATAATAGTATTACAGTTTATTTAAAGAGCCTTTCAGGACACTAAAGGACACTACAACAGTCAAAATACACATTATCACATAATATACACTATATTAAAAACAGTTGATGCATGACAGGGTTCTTGAACTGCATTCTGAAATTGATAGGAAGCCATTAAAGCTGCTTTAGAACTGTACGAACATTAAGCCCACAATGTGCAGCATATTATTAACCTTAAGTGTAATTAAACTCTGCACATGTGCAAAATCTTTTCTTTTCTTTCGTTCCTTATGCTCCATTCCTACCATAAGAAGCTCTACAAAGCTGCTTCTTTGAAATGCAAGAGTATTTAATTCGGTATTTTTATATTTTTCAATCTTAAAGCCAAACATTAATGCAAGTCAAACAAACAAAAATCCCTTTAAAGTCACTAATTTTGCAAGGGGCTTTAGTTCAGTTCTCGATTGTTTGTCCCTTTGCAGATCACTAATGCAAAAAAGATACCATGAATTATTCCTTAGTCAATCCAAGCACTAAAACATCTACTTATATCTAATCAAAGCTATTAGCAATAGCCCCACCAGCCACACATGACATCACAGCATTTTTTTAGTCCTGACAAAATAGGACAAAACCAAGCAATGCTGCATCTACATTCTACACCCTCTCAATGCCTCTAATTCTTTTCAGCAGGAGAATTCTTTATGCATGACTGCATGGGTTAAAAAATATGTTATCACTCCAATTTTTTGTCACTGTAAAAGAATGATATAAAGAGAAGGCTGTTTAGGGATTAAACAGTTGAGTTTTCATGTTCTGGTTTTTGTACAGGTCATCGACCTGGTGCACAAATATGGTCCGAAGAGATGGTCAGTCATTGCAAAGCACCTGCAAGGGAGGATTGGCAAACAGTGCCGTGAACGTTGGCACAACCACCTGAACCCGGAGGTGAAGAAGTCTTCTTGGACTCAGGAGGAGGATCGCATCATCTATGAAGCCCACAAACGGCTCGGGAACCGCTGGGCAGAGATTTCTAAGCTGCTTCCTGGACGGTAAATGCTGCCTCCTTCTTCCAATCAAAGAGGAATTTGGCTGTACATTTTAAAAATTCAAAACTTTCCCTCACAGTACGGACAACTCCATCAAGAACCACTGGAATTCCACCATGAGGAGGAAAGTGGAGCAGGAGGGTTACCTGCAAGATGGCTGCAAGACCTTCAGCTCCTCTGGCAATGGGAAAAGGCGTAACGGCAGATCCGGTCCTCAGACTGAGCCCCAGCATTGTGTTCACTCTCCCCTGCCTGCGGCAGCTCCTAACCAGGTACACTTTCCAGCCTCTGCTTCACAATCTCTTTAAAGTATTTGCTCTGAGCACCTTTTTAGCTTTACATCGCATTTTGCAGGTGGGTAGTTTTTCCTACGATCCTGTCAGCAGACACATGGACGACCTTCCTAAAAATTCCTGCTACATATCAGTGAGTCTTTGTACTTGAACAAAAAATGCATGAACATACACCCACTTCTCCTTATTTTCTTATCTTTATTATTACGCTTGCTCATTGTTTTGCTAACTTCGGACAAATCAAGCCAATCAAACACTTGACGGTCCTGTTTTTGTTTCACCTAACACCGAGCAATCAATGTCTGTAAATTTGTTGTGTTTTGTCCCCTGTCTTTGATTGTCTTAACTCTCGTAACTCTTTCCTCTCTTCCTGTTGAACTCTCCTTCTTGGTGTTCGTACACTCCAGTCATCCGGCCTGGATGATCCTGAGAGAGAACAGAGAATTAAGGAGCTTGAGCTGCTGCTTATGTCAGCAGAGAGGGAAGTCCAGCCACAATTGCAGTGCAGAGGTTCACGTGTAAGAACACACTTTGTATGTGTGTTTTAGCAGACGTAGTTATCAGCCTGTGTGGGTTTGAAGCTTGAATACTTAAAAAAAAAAAGCTCATTTTAAAATCAACAAAAATCTGATAACTACTTTATTTTTAGGTTGTGTGATATAAGAATAGAAAGAAATCAAATTTCTAATGTTTGATTTTCCATGATGAGCTTTTTTTTTCTGAGTATATGTGTGAGCACAAGATTTGATCCAATAGCCTGTTGTCTTGCTATGCTATGTTAAAATATTTTCCCATCTCATATTTTCCTAAAAGTTGTCCCAAAGCTGTGCTTGGTAGTCACCCCACCTCCTATAGCAACTCAGTTTCCCCCATGAAGTTTCTCCATCCTCTCCTCTTGCCCCTAAACCCATCCCTCATACATTAACCACTAGTTTTCTAACCCTGTTGTTTAAATCTGCTGTTTCTCTGCCAAGACTTAACTTTTCCAGTCATCCACTTAATCGTGCCCCTCAATATCTGCAATATGTTGCACATGCAAAATTTGTGATCTTGAAGGGACTTTTTTTTTCAAAAACTGAACAATGTTTAAAAATAAAAATCATAAATGTGTGATGTGCATATCTAACTTATATTTATAAGCGGTTAAATACACTTATAAAGTGTGATTTAACCACCGCAGTCTACGCAGCATGAAGACCCAAGGTAAACAGATCTGGTCAGGGATAAGAACTGCAGAGAAGTTAATTTGGGTTAGGTCATAAAACAAAATGCAAATTTTCTGTTGAATTCATCATCAAAAAGAAGAGACTATGACATCACTAGAAGCCTACAAAGTCATAGCTAGCCACTGCCCCCGTAAGCACAGAAGCAACTTGATAAACGGTTACAGTAAAGAGGCTAGTCAGAGGAGGCTATAAAAGGACGTTTTAACCTGCATGCATGTAACTAATTACTAACACTGCTCATGACCATGAATGCAATATCCCAGCGGAAGGAAACATGTTGGAGGCAGCATCATGCTGTCAGGGTACATTTCTCAAGCAGGAAAGCATGTCAGATGATGACGTCACAAGTAGTTAAACAGAGAATATGTAAGAATCATCTAAATTGTCTCAGAAAAATCACAAAAACTTTTTCTAAAGTTGTATTTTAGCATTCTTTAGTGAGTTAAGGATAGAAATAAGTAATTTTAGTACCATAATTCCATGAATTATGGAAACCCAGATGTATATCTGGTTGCGCTTGTGCAAATGAGCTGATATGGTACGGATCGTGCTTCCGGGACGGATCGGGCAGTAACACTATTGTTAGAATTGGACAAGCTGGCATTGGATAGGCTGGAGTTAGTATTAGATAGGCTGGTGTTAGCATTGGATAGACTGGCGTTAGCATTGGATAGGCTGGCGTTAGCATTAGGGTTGTCACGATACTAAACTTTTCAACTCGATACCGATATTAAGGAAAATATTCAATACTCAATACCATTTTCGATACCACAAGGATAAAAACTCCAAATTTAAACAGAAATGTTTTGATTAATAATTAAAATACAATAAATAAATACAATAAACAATAAGAACAATATTTTGAGGTTGTTTGCTGTGCACAGTATTAAGCAAGCTTGATAAAAAACCTCCAAATTTAAATAAAGTTTTCCTTACTTGGCTATGCTTTGCACACATAGCAATGACACTAGCCAAACCGGTTAAGAAACTAAAATAATTCTCAGCAGCTGCACCTGTTACAAAAAAAGTCTGAAACTAAAAAGTGCACAGAATTATTCAATCACACAGTGTTCAGAAAGTGCAGTTTCCTCTATTCTGCACTTTAGATGAGTGACTGTGTAGGTGCCACTGGTGGTAGCACTGTATCGATAGTTTTGAAAATGAGTATTGTATCTGGATATAACTTTTCAGTATCAATACTTTTTTGAGTATCAATACTTTTGACAACCCTAGTTAGCATTGGATAGGCTGATGTTGGCATTGGAAAGACTGATGTTGGCATTGGAAAGACTTATGTTGGCATTGGATAGACTGGCGTTAGCATTGGATAGGCTGACGTTAGCATTGGATTGGCTGATGTTGGCTTTGGAAAGACTGATATTGGCATTGGATAGGCTGGTGTTAGCATGGGATAGGCTGATGTTGGCACTGGAAAGGCTGATGTTGTCACTGGATAGACTGGCGTTAGCATCAGAAAAGCTGGTGTTAGACAAACTGATAATAGCCGTAGGCTGGCTACCCTAGCCAATTCCTAAAGGTTTAACAAATTCCAAACAGGATTTGATAATCTCCTTTTAGTCTAGAATAATATAATACAGCTTTGAAGAGCCTAAGTACAGTAGTTTACAAATTAGAGCAAAATAAACAAGCCTAATGTTGTGAGAAAACTAGTGGAATAACCTAGCCTGATAAACCAGACTAAATGTGAGATGTGTAATTTAGTCTGGCCCCGATAAATGAGACATCGGAAGATTGTTGATGAGAGCAACCCGTTGTCTTTCAAGCCATGTCTGTGCCTATTGGCCAACGCTCTGACCAATAAGCACAACTGACTGTGACGTAGGAAGCACGACAGAAAGCTGGTAGGGGAGTGTAAACAAACAGCCTGTCGGTAAAATGTCGAATACGTCCTTCTTAAGAATGAATGAGCGTAGAGCCTCTTCCTGCTCACGTTTCAACGAAAACCAAGTCTAATCCTTCCAAGACTGATTCCAAAGCTGAGTCAAACGAGAACTGTTCAATAGTTGTTGCCGTCTTCCTTGTGATTTCTCCAGCTTCGCGCAGCTTTGTCATCACGCCCTCAAAACCCCGCCCTCTTTGCATCCAGAAATTTAAAACACATCTCTGTGTTGTGATTGGCACGGCAGTTCTAGGGCCTGGGGCATTGACCGCAGGCAAAAATAATTTTGACCGCTGGTGAGTGGGGCTAGTTTACTAGGCTAGGAATAACCCTTTAGATGATCGAAAGCTGCAGTTGTAAGCCAACTTAAGCTTTGTTTTTCTATTATAGTAAATGACCAGCCAAAGCATGCTAGCTAACGCTACTGCCAGCCTATCCAACGCTAACAGAGTTGGCTGCTCCTATTTACCAGCTCCAGCTTCTCATTAGCCAGTGCCTGCCACTTGGTTAACGGTGCCAGCCTTTAATCAGACCGATAGCTGACTTCCAAATGGATATAGCATGCTGCTCCAAGGAAGTAGATATCATTGGGTGCATAATAGTATTAATTTTGGCCCCAATATCGTACAATTGATTACAGGGTTATTTAATGGAGCGGCATACGACTGTCCTGTTCTGACTAAACTAGAGGTATTGCTAAGAAAAAGAGGGACAAAGCTGGCGCTGACATACCCCCCTAAACATCAGTTACCACAGCAAAATGTGGTCGCACAAAGTATTGTCTCAGGTCAGGCTTAATGCAAAAGCACACCACACTTTACTTATTTTTATTTATAAACAACTGTAAATAATACCAAATTTAGATTTAATGTTGCAACATCTGAAAAAGGTTGAGCGGTGTGAATTATTTTGTGATCTGCTGCATACAATAATTGACCCCTTTAAACCATTTAAATGACCAAGTTGTATAATATGTTTTTACTATCTCCGCTGTTCTGCAAACTACCCATGTGAAATTTCCTTTATTGCATTTCATTTTTTGTTTCCTGATCCTCAGAGTGTGGAGCCATATCCATCATGGTCAGATAGTCTGTCTGAGGACTCGATGACCACAAGCAGCAGCAGTTTGGAGGAGCAGCCAGACAAAGGGTCCTGGAGAGGTCCGGTGGTCCCAGCTGCCCCTCCTAAACAGCGTCCAGTCTCTCCAAGCAAGTTCCTGTCGGCAGAGGCCAGCGCTGTGCTCTCCAGCCTTCAGACCATTCCAGAGTTTGCAGAGACCATGGAGCTCCTTGATTCAGTGAGTTACAGTAGTAAAAACAACAGAATAATTGTGTTGATCAAGTGTATCTAAGGATGTTTTTTTTGTTTTTTTTTCCAATAGGACACTGGAACATGGAGCAATGTTGCCAATTTTGATCTTTCAAAAACATCACCTCCCAGACACAACCAAGAAGGTTTCGCTGATCTCTTACCAGAGAGGACAGTTTACAACCAAGTAGACTACTGTGTCAACAATCCCACTACCATCCCAGGCCATCATGGGAATTGTGCACCATATGGTTTGTTGGCTGGTTCCTCACAGACACCTATCAACCCCTTTAAACCTGACAAGGACTTATCCAGTGGGAAGAATAAAAAGAGAAACAGGGGAGAACCTCTTTGTTCTTCCTTCTTGGAAAATATCTCAAACTCTCCCAAGAAAACTCCCCCAAAGTCACATCCATTCACCCCTTCAGGAGTAAGTTCAAGATGTCTGTCTTCACTTGTTACGACCTGTACACCCTCTTACAACGATTATAGAGATGTTGCTTCAGACTTTGGTTTAACTACCGTGTCTTTGTCATCGCAGTGCTTCAACATATCATTGACGGAGCATCTGAGTCTGGTTGATCCGACCTTTACCTCCACTCCTGTGTGCGGTCAAAGGGGCCTTCTCAGCACGCCTCTCCTCAAGGAAAACACACCCAAACAGAAAGAGAATGATGGGTAAATAAATGCAGTGGCAAGAACAAACTTCAAAATGTCAACATATTGGAGTTAAAGCCATTTACTTTTTTAGTTCCAGGACACCTAAATTGCGTAAAAATATTGCAGTCCCAACCCCAAGGACACCTACACCCTTCAAAAAAGCTCTGGCTGCCCAGGAGAAAATGCACGGGCCAGTGAAGATGGAGGTAATGCACAGAACATAAAGCTGACTGTTTCTGTACTTCCGTTGGGTAGTTTTCATTTATACTCCTGCTGCTGCACTTTGCAGCCACAGCCTTTGGCGTTTCTGGAAGAGGACATTCTAGAAGTCATGAAGCAGGAGACAGGAAGAGATGTCTTCAACAAAGACCACAGAGCATGGAAACATAATGTATGTGAGACTATGACCCCCCCTCCTTCTAGTTTTATTAGAAAATCCTTGGTAAAATTTCCTTATTCCACTGATGTAACCTTCTGAATAAATGTGTGATTCATGCATCTAGATGGACGGTCCAGCCAGGAAAGTGCGCAAGTCTCTTGTACTGGACCCTTGGGTTAAAGACAATCTTGATGTCCAAGTCTTCCAAGATCAACTCAACGATGCACAGGTGCGTTTGTCGGTCTTGAAGGGATCCACGACTGGTTTGCCTAAATATGTTGTAATTTTCCGACTAACTTAAAAAAATTGCTGTTTATGTTAAAACTCAGAATTACCTAAAAAATTATTAGGGATGTGGCAAAAATTCTGCCACTGAAAATTTTCGGCTGAAAAATGAGAGAAAGGTGCATTTTTCGGTTTTAACAACAAAACAACAAGGACGAAACTTGTAATGATGCGACAAATAGTACATCCAGCACGGGGCAGAAATGATCACAAGCACACATTACCCAGAAACGTTGAACACGTGAAGAAAAGGACTGAAGCAAGAGACCGCAGGTAGCGTTTGTCAGATTTGAGCGTGCGGCAGTAAGGTTTTGGGTTGAAAGTGTTTTTTACTTAAGCGTATTTTCATAAAAAAATCAACATTTCTTAAATAAAGTCAACTAATTGTGAATTCGTTTAAAACAGGGTCAGATGTCAGTTGTTATACCTCTTCTTTAAGCTGCTCCCTCGACAGTGGAGCACCTGCCTCCATCTTCTGCTTCTACACCAACCATCTCCACGTCTTCCTGAACTATGTCCACAAATATTCTTTGGATATTTCCCTTTTTTCTCAAACATCCTAATTCCAATGTCTCGTCATGCTGTAGTGCTCCCACATGCCTCCAATGTTATCCCTAAACCTGCCAGCCTGAGCTACTCTTATGCTACGTTCACACCGGACACGATTCGAGCAGCAGAAGCAGCTGGTTAACATGCAAAGTCAATGGTTGACACGCATCAAAAGGTCCTGCTCCGCGTCTAGAGCAGGAGGGGTGTGAGCGGTGAAATTATATTTTAAGGCAGGAACATCATCTTGATGAACTGACTGCACAGACAATGTTTTAAGGTGTACTTTCTCACTTAAAAATATATTAAAACTGTGTTTTCCCACTTATCACAGCAAATATAGCAAAGCCGCTCTGCCATTAAACACTGGAGCAGTAGAAGCATCGGACAGGTCTAAACAAGGGACAGGTCTAAGCATCCAATTAGGCCCCAATGCCGTCTGACCTTTCTCTTTAATTTAGCAGAAAACCTTCTCACAGACATCCACACGCCATATTAAATGGAGGTGTCTGTTGTTTTTTGGGGAGGTTTGTGATTCTGTGGTGATCTGTCTAAAAGTAAAGTGACTCTCAGACATTGCATGTAGTAAATAGACAATACAGTTAAATAGATTTGGACTGAACTGGCAACTAGAAAAAAACTGATGGCATAACTTAATAATCACTACCGTCAGAGCCTGAGTTAAAATGTTTGATGTAACCTGATCTAAACAAAAGAAGGATTAAAAAGGGCCCAAGTTTATTTAAAAAAAAGGGAACAGACTCATTAACTCCTATTAAAAGCAATCTTAATCAAATCTACCAGAAAAGGTGAAAGTGGGTTATCACTATCATCCATATCAGTGTTGCCAAAAAAGGTTGTCTGCATTTTGTTTAAACATGTTTTATTTGTTATATGTTTTAAGAGGTGCTGTATCTTTGTGCGTAGCGACAGCATCTACCTCTTTTCATTCTCTGCAGGTTTCAGAAGAAAGTCTGATGACAAACTCTTTGCTGGTCATCCCCATCAGTGAGGAAGAGGAGGTTAGGCAGTCAACCTCGAAGAAAGACGAGTCCTTATTAGAAGTTGATAGCCATGGCCACTGCTTCCCCAGGCCTGAGATGAAGAAAGTGCCGTCTTTACCCAAAGCACCAAAATCACCCCCGGCAATGGTATGTGGAACCAAACTTTTTATCTGAATGAGCCAGTTCGTTAAAGGTGACGAAATACTAAATCTTGAGCAGAATTTGAAATCCAGCCAGAAACTTTTCCAGGAGCTAGCTTATTTTTCTGTGGCCCATCTCACCAGTATCCCCCCCCCCCCCTTCTCATGATTTCCACTGTAGGAAACATTTTGTCAAGCTGGTCACTCGGTTACAAATCTAATCTAAGGAGGTTGTACTATTTGGATGTTCTCTGAACCAAAGTCAGAGTTTTTTGGGAGGGAAATGAACCAATCTGTCCCATTTAATATTCCCATTTTGTTTCAATCATGTTTCAGTTTTGATCTGTCTGCAGATTATATCTTTTTAGCTTTTAATTTTAGTAATTGGTTGTTGTTCACACCAAGTCAATCATATTGCGTTTCGTCTTTTGATCCGCTTAGATTTAACTACAGTAATAAAGTCAGCTGGTCTGTAGAAATTTTATAAAAAAAGTGTGGAGTTCTGTGTTTAGTTGTTAATAAAGGGAAATAACGTAAACAAAATAATCAGAACTACCATAGGAATTTAAATAATTCTGGATGGTTTTATGGAATTTATGTTCTGGGTTGAGAAGAAACTCCCAAAAACCCAAACTTTTTGTTTGCTTTTGGGGGTATTACAGCTTTTACTCACAATCAGACTTTCACTATATATTTTTAAAAAATGGGACTCTGAGATGCTAGTTATTTTATTTCTGTTTTAGAGTCTAATCGCTATGAAAGCCATGGGTTTAAACAGAACTGTTGTCCTATCTTCTCCAAGCAAGACCAACACTGCTTGTAGGAATTAATTAGAAGTTTATTACAGTGACTACTTTCCATTGAGACTGGATTGAGGAATTTAAGTTCAGTGTAAAAGAATCATGAGTTGTGGTTTTAGTGCTAAAAATTATGTTTTTTTTTAAATCCGTGCAGAGTGGATTGGTGGACTACTTTTTAGTTGCGGTTGCACATAAATACATAGTTTGTAATAATTTTAGTTACACTATAACTGCTGTAAAACAATCAGACATAAATGATTGATGTATTGATCTTACATCCCCGTTTGAATCCAACTCTGGATTCTATTCATTGCAGACTGAGATCCTACTCCTCAGATCACAGTAGCAGCAGTCCTTTTGTATGAGGAGAGGTCCTCTCAGTGTGGGGCCATCATTTTTATTAAAATGCTTGTTTTTGTGTCATACCGTGCAGTGAGAATGTGCTAGAAGTAAAACTCACCACTAGTCACCTTCCCTGCAGCTCAGCGAATGGGAAGCTGTTGTTTATGGAAAGACCGAGGACCAGCTCTTCATGACAGAACAGGCTCGACAGTATCTGAATCCGTACCTGACGTCCGGCTCTACCTCAAGGGCCCTCATCCTTTAAAGCCGTCCTCCTCTCCCAAGCCTCACAAGCAGCACTACATCTGTCCAACAATTAAAACTGTCCAATGAGTCCTGAAGGAGACAATCCAGTAAAACAGATCAACACTGCCAGGGATGAGCTCCCAAAGCCCTGCCTGCTGTCCCTGTTTGTTACACGTTTCTAGGTAACCTAAACTCTTGTCCTTTATATTTATGATCACCTACAAGAAGAAGGTTTTAGACAATGTGTATCAGTAAAAACACAAACTCCCTCAGCTTGTTTTGCTAACCTGCTCTTATGCAGCCATTTGATAAAGATCACTAGTGCTTCATTTGTAGACAATTACTTGCTTAATATGGATGCTAAAACGCACACTACATTTTTTATTTACAAGACAACCGATACAGAATCTAACATTCTTTTTATCTTAAACTATAATAAATTAAAATGCAGTTGTGTTTTTATGTAACAGTAATGGTTTGAGATGCTAAGCCCAAGCTGAGGAGAGGATGAAAGTAAAAAAAAACAGTCAAAGTTGCACTACTGAGAGGATTTTGCTGCTGAAAGTATGAGCTTAGTTTATTTTGTTTTTGTTTTTTTATGATTATTTGAAAGGGCAAACTGGATAGCACTTGTGATGGTATCTGTTGAATAACCCAGTGTTTCCTAACCGAGGCCATGGAGTACGCGGAGACGTCATTTGAATGTAATTCATTGCAATGTACATGTAAAAGAACCTCAAAAGTGGAAGGGTACCTTTTATTGTTTATCTCTAATTACTTTATTTATTTTCTCTTCTGAAGCTTAGATGTTAATATAATTTGAATGCCATGAAGTTTTCTTCTAGTTGTTTTTTGATTTTTTTTTCAGGAGGGTTTGCTGACAAAAACAGCCTAAAACAAATTTGCTCTAAGCATGTCACTGTTTGAATAAATGCAAAAATAAATCCGCTTTGTCAGATGTTTCATTGTGACGACTGATACTGACGGGTTTCCACAGCACAAACAATTTGTCTGAAAAGGATAAAGCTTTTTTTAATGTGAGGGCTGTAGATTTTTTATTTATTTAAAACTACTAATTTATTTATTTCTTTAAAAAGGGGACCTTTAAGAGAAACTATTGAAGACTTTTATTACCTGTTTTATCTTAAAAAAAAAAAAAAAACAGGACTTGGCTGCCATTCAGTTTAATACTTCCATGGCAAAACAATTTCTCAATTTTATGCTAGTTTATTTCCCAATTAAGCTTTTAGAAAATAATAATTCTCTAGTTTGTATGATCTTGTAACTTTTAGATAACATTTTCCCCCTTTAAATGAAATATGGTTTGCAATTAGTTAGTATGACCCCATCTCTGAAATCTAATCATAGAAAAGTGCACTTTTTATTTGTATAAATGTCAACTTTTGTTTGTTTATTATCCCGATGTAGCTATTTTTGAATGTGTGGTTTAGTTTGTACAGAAAGCTGACATGAAGGATCTGCTGCTTGGTTTTTTTACCGTTTGTTTCTCCTGTTCGGCTGCAGAAGTGTGTATTTGAACTACAATACTTAAAAAGAAACCTTGCAAAAAGCCTTTTATCCTGCTGACATTCCCAAACCAACCCTCATTTCCTCACTTTTTGTTTTTCTGTCCGTGATCTGTAATTGCTATTTGTGTGTTATGCTCACTTCTGTTTTCCTCAGAAGTAATGAATAATACTATTAGCAGTATAAGCCGGCTACTTATTTATCTGCATTTTAAGTGTTGGTGCTTTAAAAGTGCATATTTGCAAACAGAAGTTTATTCTTGCTGGTTTCACTCTGTTTTATATTTATGTCTGCATAGCAAATTTGAACTCGTGAACTATTCTGTTAAAACTGAAGACAAATTCAGTCCTGAACCAACATTTTATCTATTCCAAGAACATCGCTGCTCCTGCAAATAAAATCAAGCTTCACAAATTCCCCAAAACTTCACCTTATTTAAACAACGTCAGTTCTTTAATATTAATTTGCAATCTTAAGGAATCCTGCTCCAAACCAATTAGATTATCATTTTCCTGATCCGAAATCTGCTGATCAGTGAGGTTGTAAAGAATCAAAATGCCTCTAATCTTTGTTATGTTTTCATCTGTATGCAGTGATAGACAATGGTACATTTTTTCCAAAATTAATATTGCATTTTTCTCTTAGATTAGATCTAGCTTGCATGCATACAAAAAAAAAGTTAGGCACTAGCCCCCCCAAATGACAATTACAGATCATGCATTTATTTTTTCACACTCTGGGTTAGAAGGGTACAATCCAGCTGCAAATATAAATAGATCCAAACTGGTTGTCTTTTATTAGGTTACCCTTGCGCATGGCTTTGTAACCATACTGAAGCTTCATATAATCTCCACTACAGCTCTGAATCTTGTATTATCAGTATTTAGAGGATCCGACATTGCCTCTAATCTGGATTATCCTCCCTCCAAACCCCTAGGTGGGAATAAGAAGAGAATCTTGTCAGAGAGATCAAGGGGAAAGATCAGGAGAGTTTGATACAGGTGGCAGAATGTCATCCATGTGATTTCTCTGAGATGTGTATAATCCATTTAGCTTTGTGTTCCTGCTGGTTGGTTGATTTGTGTTGTAATTTGTACCCATTCATTCTAAATTTTTTTGTTTTTTTAAAGGTAATTGCCCACCATGTCAAATCCGGTTTTGAGAGGGAAAAAAAGGTACAGGCAAAAGATAGCAGCAGCTGTCGTATACTACTGTAGCAACATGCTCGATGGATTACGATTGTTAAACACGTGCTGTTTAATGTAGCATTTTGACTTAAAGACGTAACTAAGTTGCCGTAGATATCCTGCCAGCTGTCTTTGACCGTGTACTTTGTTTTATAGAAGAAAATAAATAAATATGCTCTGCTGCATCACTGTTTGGGTCTTTCTTTCACTGCCAAGTCCTCTCGCTGGAATTAGAAGAGCTTCATACGTAATAGAGATTTTTCCGGGTCCTTTAGGGTTGCTGACATGGTCACAGCAGGAGTGGAAAACTGCCTGAAGCTTTTGCCAAATGCTGAAGAGAGAATGGACCCCATACTTGTACTTATTTATTTGGAAATCGTCGCTCAGGAAAAGCGGGGGTATGGAAACTAATAGAGTGGTTAAAGATGTATGTATATGTTTGGGCATGTCGTCATCTTGGCCCGAGGTCCAAGGACACGAGGCCCCCTCAACCAGAACAAGACGCCTCACCACAGGGTCAGCTGCTGGCCCTAAAGGGGCCCACTCAGCCATGACTTAATGCCCCCAGGGTCCTTTGTCCTTTAGGCTGTTGGTTATACAGACCCATTCACCCCACCCCCCTCCCTCCTTCCACTGGAGCAGAACACATGACGACCTGTTTTATGCAGGCGGAGCAGCAGCACGCGTGCATGTCAACATTTTACACATGGGCAGCACAAACACAGCACTTCATCTATCTGTGCTGTCATTGGAGGATCAGAGGGTCTTTTTTCCCAGAGAGAACAAAACAAAGCTGAAAGATGTCAGGAAGTTTGTTGGTCCTGCCTGGATATGACCAGCAGTCCTTCAACTTTAAAGAGATAGTTCACAATTCTTGAGGTACAATTAGTCAATTTGGCATCTTTCACTTGCTAAAATATGTACTGCTTTTAATACAACCTTTATTTTTAAAAAATGAAAGCATCTTTAAGAGCCTGAATTATCTGCATTTCATTTCATAGACATATCCGGCAGCTGAAGTTAGAATATATTATATCCAATGATTTCACACAGGAAGCTATATTTGGAAATACATTAAGAAATGAAAGGAAGCCTTAAAAGACCCACGCACACACACACACATTTGTAAGTATGTGCACCAGCTCCCATGAACACACTTCAGCTTTATGTGTGTGCGAGACAGCAGATGGGAGCCCATTATAGGGATGACGGAGCAGTCATCTGGCAGGCAACCTGTTACCCCTCCTTTCCCTCGCTCCACACCCCCCACCAGACACCCAACACAAAGCAGCAGGGAGAGGACGGCCCTTTTAGGCGGGATACTCCTCAGCTTTCTCAAAAGTGTTAAAATCAGGTCCTTTCAGGCCAAATTAGGTCACAGTTTCCACTGCTGTACGCGGCAGTCCCTGTGAGACTGGCCCAGGCTGAAATGCATTTGAATTTATCAGAAGTTGACAAATCTCACCTTGTGGGAAAGCATCTTGTTTCACAGTGAAAGGACAGAAAACTTACTCTGAAAACTTGAAAGTAGAAAATATATTCTTAACAGAAACTTTTATGTATTATTTTAGGATTTTATGCACTTAAATATTTTCCTAAATCTTAAGATTTCTGTCATTTATTCCATTTGCTTTTTTTATTATATAATTTGAACAAAAACCTACTAAATAAACATCAAATGATAATCATTATTCTAATATAGCCTATTTATTTAATATACATGATTTTCAAGTTTAATTATTTAAAACTGATAAAGCATACTTACTAAAAATTAATACTGAATGTATTTATTTAAAATCTATAAAGTTTGTTTCCTGAATTGCATAATAATCAGGGTTACCTTTAAACTATTTAAACAATAAATTTTAAACAAATAAATCAGCTTTGTTAAATTAATTAATATGTATTTTGTAAGGTTTATTTAATAGGTATGTGTTAAAATTGTCTAAAAAAAAAAGGTAATGGGAATTTATTATGTAATAAAATTATATAAATCCTCAAGTTCTGTGTGGCAGACACCTAGTGCATAAAGGTTAACCATGTTTTAATAAAAATAACTTTGTAAGGCATTCATTGCAGCCAGATGGCTTTAAAAGTCAGCTGATTTGTTCATAGTTACCAACAGCATCATAAAGACAAAGGATCACAAGATGCAAGATGCAGGCCAGGGATTTGGCTGCAGTCCTGTCTGTCACAAACCAGCAGACATGGAAGAAATCGCTCTGGTCAGAGCACACCACATCTGAACTTACAGCCAACATGTAAAATGTCATTTATAGTAGAAAACAAAGCTCCACACACCTTAAAAAAATAGAAAACAACTGGTGTAAGGTTTTATTAAAAAAAAAAAAAAAGATGGATGAAATGATCCTGAAAGAAGACCCAACTAGAGCTTTAAAACTGAGGCAGAGGTTTTCCCCTCCATTAAAACAATACCCCTAAACAATCAGAGCAGCAATTCATTTATAAAGCTGATATTCACAGACATGCTAAGTCGGTTGCAATGTCTGAGATTTTGATGTACTCTAAAAGACAGAGCAAGTAAAAATAAAAAAATGTAAATATAAATGAAAACTGGAATTTAATCCCTAAAATATTTGCAGATAAATTCAGCAAGCTAGTTCTGCAAATTTCTGACTGAGGCGGTAGAGGAGAACATCACAAATGCATTTTAAGAATTTTTAAAAATATGCATGCAACAGATCCCTGCACCTGATGATTACATGCCACCACATGATGCTCTGTTTGTGGTTGTTACAGGACAAAATCTGAAAACCTTAAAAAGTTCTCTGAAATTTTAGACTTCCTTGTGTGCGATATCGAGATCAGATAAGTGGAGTTATCTCTCTTTGAAACTTACACCCTTTCCTGTTAGACTTGCCTCCCAGATCCTGGCCCCACAGTGACTGCCTCCCACAGCCTCCAACAATAAAAGATTATACAACACAGAATATCAAACACCCTGCAGAGCCGAGGGGCGGAGGAGTTTCCTGTATGGATGTAGAGGCCATGGTTGGGGTTAGGTTTGCAGTTTGTTTCCACTCTGGATGGAAGGTGTGATAAACAGCTGCAGGGACATTTTGAGAAGCACCACAGAAGAAGACTTGCAGCTTCTGAGAGCTGCTTTTTGTGTTGCCGGGACAACAGGCGCCATCCCTGCTCTTCTGGCAAGGCTTTCGGCAAAACTGGCTCACACTTCCTTTGCTTCTGGGTAATTTCATGTGAAAAAAAGGGAGGTTTTCTGTGTTTGAAGGAAAAAAAATAGGATCTTGTTCAGAGACTTTTTCCATTTGAGTTACAATATGTTATTCAAAGAGAGTTTACTGGTTTTTATTCATGTGATTTCTTACGCAATATTTTTTAAAAGTGTGTGTACATAGCAGAAAACAGCAAAACAAGTATAAATTTCTCAAACAAAACATGTCCTACCATAACACTTAAGCAAAATGATTTCTGTGACTGTGATTTAATATGTTCTAAAACATATTGTTTGATTAATGTTAAAACAAAAACTGAACATTTCTTCCCTGTTTTAGGTTTCTGTTTCGGTGCGTAAAATAAAATAAGTCAATTTGGTTTATTAATGTTCTAATTGTCAAAAGAACAAAGAGAAAAAAGAGATTTTACTACCAGAGCCTTACAGGGAGGGGAGGGATTTATCAAAACCCTGAAAAAAGGCATCTGGAGAGAAAACAAGTGAAGCAGGACAACAGCTCCAAATTAACAGTTTTACCGCAACAAAGCACCAGAAAACTAGAAGATCGGGGATATCTACCATTTACCCTTCATGTAGAAGACATCAAATGAGGTTTCAGTTTTCAATCATTACTTTGCTCCTAATTTTGACTCAGATGTGTTTGAGGCAGGATCATACGGCGTTCCCTTTAAAAAAAACAGGGATGGCGAGGCGTATGTCTTTTTCTCCATTGCTCTTTCATAACGAGATGTTTGGAAGACACCACTCTGGTTAAAGTTTGGTTTCTCTGACCTTCAGCGAAAAATCCGGTGCAGGAAGAACAAATAAAACAGATCCTAATGATATCCGCCACCAATTGTAAAACACAGTGGTGGTAGCAGCATGCTGTGGGGTTGCTTTTTTTAATATGTTTTAAGGTACACAGTGCCTGTAACTGTGGTAGTTTCTTGTTCGCGGAGTTGCTAAAGCTTAGAAACAGTAGTTTGGACTAGGGTGATAAAGGAAAACTTAAAAATAATAGCCCCATCATTGCAAATGTAGGTATAAATTACATTATCCTGAATTAGTGAAGCCTTGGTTTGGATCAAAGTTAGGGTTTTTAGTGATGATGGTTCCTGTCAAAGTCCAGATCAAATTGCAATCTGATTTGCAAAGCTGCTAAAGGAAGAGAATAATTTTTTTAATTAAGCTTTCCTTGTGGTGCTTACTGCTTCGTGCCAAATGATTGCTATTTTCCTTTATATATAAAGTGCAGCACAATAGCTGTTTACTTTGTCGTTTACTTTCAGTTTTTCTCTTGCTTGTTTGTTGAAATTGAGCTAAGGCAAGAAAAGTCAACTTTAGACCCAGAAAAGGGGGATTAGACTGTTTTTTAGAATCCTGTGTAATCTCAAAAACACCTCCTAGAAAGTCATCTCCTCTCCTGTCAGACAAAGGCAGGCCCCTCCTTAGTCACCCTCGAAGGCCCCATTGGCGGCCCCTTCGCATTCACTCTTTCTCCGGTACTTGGACAAGATCCTGTGGAGCAAACTTGAAGATCTGCGGATCTTAGGTTGGGAGGCCATGGATTCAGGCGGAGGGCTTTGGGGCCTCCGCACCAGGAAGGGGCCCTCACGCTTAACCTGGCTCCAATCCAGCCCTGTTCCTTCGCCTCCTTCTCTGCTGCTTCCCCTCCTCAACGCCTGTAGGACATGTCCACTGGGGGTCAAAGAGGAAATAAACACAAAGGACCTGTTTATTCCCTGTGACCTAAATTAAGCTGCCAGGGGACAAGAGGGACAAGAAACTGTGCAAACGACTTGTAAAGAGCTTTGCAGACATTTTCAGAAACAGCATATCTTACTCCTATGTATATCTATCACGGATTTTGATAACTTTGATTAAAAAACAAGCTTTAAGAGAAAAAATGTCCCCCACAGTCGACTACGCTTCCCTCTTCGTCCTCCAATAGGAGGGGCGTCTGTGCATGTGTTTGTGTGTGT